ACACGACCCTTTCTTCACACCCTGGCAGGACTTTCCCTGCAGGTTACATGTGACCCCAGACTCTGCTTCCTTCTGTGGCTGGACTGCAACAGGATGCGTGTGGTCGGGGCTGAGGGAAGCGAGGAAGGGGAACCCATGAGAAGGCCCAAGGGCCCCTCACCCAGCTGAGAGCGAGGGCAGGGAGAGGCGCACAGGCCCCGGGGCGCTTTGCTCTGTGGTTTCTGGAAGGCTCGGGTCTGGATCCTTGCCCCGCTTTGTCTCTCACCTCAGTGGGGACATTGAACACCTCACCGGGAACTTCACACCAGAGAGAGGCTCGGCCTGGCCTCTTCTTCCAGCAGGGACTGCAGCGGGCTGCCATTTTTTAGACACTTCTCCCAGGCCCAAGCCTGAGGTCATTGACCCCTTTCAGCAACCAAGAGTTGAGAATTGAGAAGCCCATTTCACAGCTGAGTTAACTGAGGCTGGGCGGAGGGAAGTCATGTTGCTGAGACACGATGGCCCAGAGCCAGGCTGCCTGCATTTAAATTCTGCCCACATCCCAGTGCATGGGCTCAGGCAAGTGACCTAACTTTTCTGTGCCTCAGTTTTCCCCACCTGCAAAATGGGAATGGTGTTTAATAATAGGGTTCATGTGGGATTAAATGGGTTGACAGGGTTGAGCCCTCAGAAGGTGCTGACTTATAGCACCACGTAAGCACCACAGGGACTCAAATTCAAATCTGCTCTTGGTAGTAAGCAACATGCTCTACGTGGGTGCCACTAGCAGCTCCATTCTGCACAGGACGGGGGGTGAGGTCCAGAGAGGAACAGTCGTTTGCCCAGTGCCACTCAGTGGCTTGGGATCACCTGTTGGGACAGAGGCTTTCCTGGGGCCCCTGCTCCAGCTGGGCCCCCCTCTCCCACTCCCTGCTAGAGCACACAGCGAGGTCAGAGCAGAACCCCTGCTTTGCTCTCCTCCTTTCCTGTTGCTTTAGTGCATTAAAAAAAAAAATGACAAAAGCATTGGGGCACTGGGTGAGAGAGGTGAAGGGACAAGGAAGCACAAATGGTAGTTACAAAATAGTCACGGGGATGTCAGCATAGGAAATATAAGCAATAATACTGTGATAACTATGGATGGTGTCAGGTGAGGGCACTGGAAATATTGAGGGGAACACTATGCAAAGTATCTGATTGTCTAACCCCTAAGCTGTACCCCTGAAACCAATACACAAAGCACTATGAAATTTTTTAAAAAATGACAGAAGTAACACATGCTAGCTGTAACAAGTCGAATTGATACAAAATGTTGATCACCTGTGTCCCACTGCCTCCACCTCCCCTCACCTGAGGTCACCAACGAGAACAGTGTGGTGTTTTCTTCCACCATATTTTCCATGCTCAGGTAGATCATGCTTATACCCACAGTGTCATCGAATGGCACACAGGGCGTCTCTAATTTTTTCATGAATTATTTCATCATATGCTCCCAGCGTGGTTGTGAGAAAGATGTTATTATTAACCCCCATTTACAGCCGAGGAAACAAGCCCAGAGGGGTTGTCTCTCTTCAGGTAAGGGAATGCCAGGGTTTAGCCACAGGCCTCCTAGCTTCAGAGAGTAACTTCTAAACCATACTTTCCACTACCTACAAACACATAGAAAGCCATATTAAAACACCAAAACCATGCATGTCATTTTGCCTTTCATCACCTAATATTTCCTGTGCATCTCTCCAGGTCAATACATTTAATTTATTCTTTATAATGGTTGCATAGTACGGTCCAGGTTTACCATTTTGACAATCTTTTTAAAGTTTTCCAGTTTTTCCCCCCCGCAATGTTGCACAAAAGCTTACCAGACATACAGTCCTACACACCGAAACAACTGCACATTATAAATATAGACTCTGGGTCAAAGACTATACATATTTAATAACTATTACTCGATTGTTTTTCCCCAAAGGCTGTCAACAATTCATATTTCCACCAGTAATGTAATGGAGCCCTCACTGGCCCCAGAAGTAGGTTTATCACCCCTTAAATGTATGGGCATAGAGTGATATCTCTATAACTTTAATTGGCATTTTTATGACCACTCAGGAGAATGAGCATTTTTCTACATTTTTTGTCCATTTGGATTTGTCTTCTGTCAGTTGCCTGTTCCTCTCCATTGCCCATTTTTAAAATAAATTGGGGTGCTTGTGCCCTGTTATCAGTTTGCAAGATGAAGAAGGGAATGCCATAACCGGTGCTGCTGGGTGTGGGGCATGTATGTTTTGTGTCTCAGTTCTTTTTAAAAGCATTAAGGAATAATGTTCATACAGAAAAGTGTGCGAATGTACTTTTTATAGAGTTAATAGAACACATTTGTAGAGTTAATAGAGTTAACGGAGTGGAGAGCTCTGTTAATTTTCACACCGTGTACCCAGAACCTAGAGCTACATTTAAAATAATAATAGATGTTGCCAAATACCATTTCAAAAAAGTTTCAGTATTTCTTTTTCCCAGCCATGTGATCAGTCTTTCAATGCTTTACCACCCCAGGGAATGGTATCTCATTAGTGTTTTATTTGCATTTCCTTGAACATCAGAGAGTTGATAATTTTTAAAACATATTTATGACTGCACCCATCTTCTGCAAACTGTCGGTTTCTTTCCCAGTCACTTCCCATTGGGTGTTGACTCTGGGGGCTATTAGCTGGGTCTGCTTAATGCGCTGCAAACCTTTTTCTCAAGTCTATTTTTAAAAATCTATTTTTTTCTTTTATAGTTTCTGGGTTTCCTATAATGCCTTAAGAAGATCTTTCCACACCAAGATTACAAATCTTTGTCTATTTTAAAAAAGATATTGTTTTGTTTTTGCTGTGTTTTACTTTTAGACCTTTCCCTTGGCTAGCATTTATCACTGCGTATGGCATGAGGTAGGGGTCTAACTTTGTTTCCGGATGGCTGACCATTTGTCCCAGCACCATTTATTAAATAGTTAGACCTGGTTTTAAATTTTAGCTCTGCCACTTATTAGCTGGATGACCTTGGGCAATTGGGCCGCATTTTACATAATCGACCGCTTCCTTCTTGAAATACTTCCCTGGGCCTCTGTGTCATGAGACTGTCTTGATTTTCCTTCCGCTTCTCTGGCTGGCCTTTTGCTCTCCCTTTCAGGCTCCTTCTTCCCTGTTTGTTACACTTTTTCTGCCAGGTGACCTTACTCAGGTAATGGCTTTAGCCACCACTGAAATGCAGATAACTTCCAGATTTTTATTTCCAACTGAGAACTTTCTTTCTTTTTTAAAAATATGTCTTTATTGATTTCAGAGAGAGGAAGGGAGAGGGAGAAGGAGAGATAGAAACATCAATGATGAGAGAGTCACTGATCGGCTGTCCCCTGCACGCCCCCCGCTGGGGATCGAGCCCGCAACTCGGGCATGTGCCCTGACCGGGAATCGAACCCCCATCTCCTGGGTCATGGGTGGACGCTCGACCACTGAGTCATGCCGGCTGGGCCAGCTGAGAACTTTCAACTGAACTCTGGGTCTGCATGTCCACCCTCCTACTTGACATCTCCATTTGGATATCCCACAGGCACTTCGAATGCAAGATTCCCCGAAATGAGCCCTCGCCCAGGAGTCCCTGTCTCAGGGACTGATATGGTCATCTTCTGGGTACAAAAGCCAGACATCTGAGCACCATCCTTGACCAGCCTCTGTTCTCTCCCCTCTTATTTCCTGCACCCAAAACGACGCCCAGCACATAGCAGGTGCTCAATAAATACCAAATGATTGAATGACTACTCAGTTCACCCCTAAGTCACATTGCCGTCACCTCCTAAATAGCTTACAAATCAGACCTCTTTCGTCCATTTCCACGGTCTTCACCTTGGTCCTGTCACCATCTCCTGGCATCTGGAGTTTGCTCCCACCTACTCAGTGACCTCCCAGCAAGCACTCTGGACCCTGTGAGGCCAAAGCTCAGATCTGATCAGGGCTTTCCTGAAGGTCACCTTCAAAAACGAGTCCCATTTTCCTTCGGCCTCTCATGACCCTCAGGGTGGGGCCCACGCCCCTCACCATGGCTCCCGCCACGGGCTGCCTTGAGCCGCCTCACTGTGTGTGCTCCCCGTCCCTGGGACCCCAGCCGCCCTGCCCTTCTTGCTGCCCTGGGAGATGCGTGGACCACCCCGCCCCTGAGGCAACTTTGTACACACTGTGCACAACTTTAAACAGAGGAAACTTGCAAAATTCAGGAACTTTGTACCTTTGTCTTACAATTACAAAACACTCAGCTGGCCTTTTGTAAATATTTGCACATCAGATTTCTTAATGAGTCTAAGAATATAATTATTAGGCAGAGGAGTGAAATCTTCCCTTGTTAGAATTTTATTTAGCCTGTATCTTGTCAGCCTACAAGTGCAACATGCCCTTGTGAGCATTTGTTGAAATGTTAATCAATGGGTAATCAGTCTATTGCCTTTAATCTTGGGATTTTCTAATAGGAACTACATTAGATTTACTTCCTGCATGCTTTAGGAGGTTAAATTTTTAAATATTTAACTTATCTACTGCCTTTATTTGGTCTTGTTATAATTTATCTGTGGATGGGAATCCCAGGGATACAAGGACTGGCTGTATATTTATTGAAAAAAATCTGCACATAAGTGGACACCCCACAGTTTGAACCCCTTTTGTTCAAGAGTCAGCTCTCTCTCTCTCCTTTGTTTAGTCCTGGTTTACTGACACCCAGGCTGCCAAGTGGGCTTATGTCTCACTGGGCGGTGGGTCAGCGCTGGTCTGTT